ACATGATCAGGATTGAGTGAATCCTGCTTGAATCTCTAAATCACGTGAAACTACCCTGCTTTAGTGGACCTCTATATATAGACTCGCAGCTCTCTTGTACAGTATTATTTTATTTGCAATTGATCATTGGTTACATGATTGATCGATCAGGGTTGATCGATCATTGGTTGCATGACTGATTACATCACTAGGATTAGGATTAAGTGGATTGGATATCTTATGATCATTCCCGTGTGACAGATCGGCTGACTGCTATTATTTTTGAGAATCAGGTGATTTATGATTTAACCATATGAATTCTAGAAAAACAAATCTATTTTCTGTAAAGTGGGAAAAACATGTCATATTACTTTTCGAACAGCGTAGTCCCGGTTGTAGCAACCTTTGCGGCGATAGCGTTATCTATTCCTTTTCTATTACCGACGACTAAAAAATCAAAGCAAAAAAAACGCCGTAAGCAGAATCAAAATACCAAAAGAATAACAAATGGCCAAGAGAACACGTGTGTCTATGGTCTTATCAATGGTGGAAACAATACTTGTTTCTTGAATTCGGTTTTACAAGCGTTAGCTTCGTTAACACTACTTCGAAGTTATCTTTATCGTAAGGTTAAAAACGAACAGACGGAAGTAGTGCCAGTAGCATTTACGTTACATGGCCTCCTTGAAAAGCTCAATGAACCCCTATCTCGTCATAAATCCTTTCTACCGAGTGAAATTGTCTGGGCTTTACAAGCTAATGCAAGAAGTCTTATCAATCGTGAGCAGCAGGACGCACATGAATTGTTTGCTTTATTATCTTCCGCACTTTCTGACGAAGAGGAGGCAATGAAACGCCCTAAGCCATTGTTTGACCTTTCTATTATCAAGAATCTTGTGGATCCGAATTTCCAACAGATTTTACCCGCTTTCACTGATCCTGTGGAAAAAAATCCTTTGCTTGGATTGACGGCATGTCGTATTTCTTGTATGCAATGCGGCCATTCTGGTCCGATCAGGCACACTACTTTTGATCATATTTCGGTGCCCCTTCCTCATGCCGCTAATTGTACTTTGGAACAAGTACTCAGAGCTTATACTAGCTTGGAATTTATCGATGAATTTACTTGTCGAAATTGTAGTTTATTAGAAACTTTGTCGTCGATAGAAGAACGACTAAAACAAATTCGTGGTGAAGATGATTGTGAAACAATGAAATTACGAAAAAAATTAATTGCCGAGAAGCAAATAGTCAAAGTAGCTATGACGAACGAAATGGAAATTAAAGACCAATTGGTGGCAGCGACTTTTAAGAATGTCAAGACTTCAGCTACCAAGCAAACTATGTTTGCAAGATTGCCATCAATTTTTGCAATTCATTTTTCAAGGACTATATATGTGCCGAATGCATTTGGCGGTATGATGTTAAAGAATCCATGTCAAGTTAAATTTCCCGCTGTATTTAATATGGAATCATTTCTTTCTACCGGATATTTGGCAAATATGCCAAGTGAGCCGAGTTTATCCTCGAGCAATTCTCCATCATCATCTCCTATCTTAGCAGCGGTCGGTGTGATGAGTGGTGGACATTTACAGCAATATGATAATAAACCATTTAATTCAATTGCCAGTAACAATTATTGTTATGGAACAAGTGTGAGCAGTAGTAGCAATAATAATAATAATAATAATAATAATAATAATAATAATTATAACGCCGTAAAACCACAGGAAACGAAAGAAGATTTGCGTGGACGCTATTATAGCTTAAGTGCAGCGATTGTGCATCTTGGAGACCATAGTCGAGGACATTTTGTCACTTATCGAAGACAATTAAAAGAGGATGGTTCGAGTACTTGGTGGCGCACCTCAGATGAAGATGTTCGAGAAGTAGGAATTGATACTGTTTTAAGAGAAGAAGCTTATATGCTATTTTATGAGAAGATGGAAAAAGTGGATCCATAAAACAAGAGGCGATCGATGTTGAATTAAAAAAATCGACTTCGAAAGAATAACCGTCTATTTTTAATGAGTATTTTCATTATTCCATTTATTTATATTCAAGTCTAGTTTTCTTCTTATATTCGCTGATTAGTTCATAGTTAATAACATCTATAATATCGAAACAAAAAAAATTAATGAATGTATAATAATAATCTACACGCATTTGTAAATATTAGACATTTTTCATGATCATTTAATCACCACCGTAAATATTTTAGCGCATTGGTTATTGTAAAAACCATTTATAAACAGCAAATAAAAAAATTTCAATACAATGAACATAAAATGATTATTATGAATTAATGCAAAAATTATAAATTATTACTATAAATATTATAAGACTGTATCCTCCGCAGATTTATATGTGTGGTGAGCTAATTGAATGTCCCTTACCCAAGAGATTAATATATTATCAACACATGATGAGATATCACAAATAATTATTTCATGTATGCCCCTCCCCCTAACGTTAATATTGATGGAGGAATAATTTTAGTCACGATGTAGTTCTTTAAATGCACCATGACCAAAAGATAATGGAATAACTTCTGGTAAATAAGCTTTTGCAATTTCATGCATTGTCTTTGCATCAAGGATAAGAAGATAACTCTTATTTTCTTTTCCCTCAAGTACAATACTTAGGAGGATGCCTTCGTCCTCTTCGGTAGACTCGGGAACAGGAACAAATACAGCTTCTGATGGATAGCAATCTTCTTGAGTCCACATACCCACCGCTTCTTTGGTGTCCAAATCCTAATTAAAACAAGATCAGTTAATCGTTAACTTTATTATATAATTATATATATATATAAATTTATATAAAAATTAACTTACACATTTAACAAGCGAATCCCATATTTGGCCACGTTGACCTGCAGCCTTTTCCGATAGTCCGATACCATAAACATAACGATATCGAAGTCGTTGGTAATGAGGATTGATACTAGTAATATTAAATGTGTAAGCGTATAAATTGATAAATTAAATAAAAATGCTTGATCATTACCTCGGTAATTCTAAAGTAGAATCTGAACAACGGACATGACTAGCAATTGGGTAAGGATAATAGCTTGATTGAGTTTCAGGCGTTCTTTTGCTGAATAAATTCGATACGGTATTTTGAAGTATTTCAACTTGAGAAGCTTGGGGTTGTGCTTCGAATTTCACAGACTCTAATTCAATACTCTGTAGAACAAATCTACGGATTTCGGTTAGTGGTAGCTCTTGAATATAGCCCTCTCGTAACTGATTCAGATTCAAGGTATGACAAATCTCATCATTATCATAACATGCAATGTCCATGTAAACATTATCTTCATCGTCTTCAAAAGCGTTAATATGATGAAAACTACATGAAGTAATGATTCATAAGCCCTAGTCGCTATACAAAGAATAAATAACTTAAAAAAGTAGGTTTTACTTACGCGAAACACGCGTCAGATTTATAAGTAACAACATGTTTTTTCTTTGTTCGGGATATAACATAAAATAATGTTGGTTCTTCAGGCCTAAACACAAAAGAATCCAAGATGTTGTCAGACCACTTAAAGTTTAGACCAGCATTTCTTCCATAAAGAGGGAAAATAGCCTATATGGCAAACTAGAATCTTAGAAATGGTGACGTGATTTTTACATAATTTGCTCAAATAAGAATTTTACTTACTAGTATAATGAATCGCGGGGTAACCGCAAAACTATGAACATAAGAAGCTTTTGCAATTATCGAGGTTATTAAATCACCGCTTGGATGTGTTTCAGACAACGAAAAGAAATTATATTTTGTCCCAAGCGGATGATATTCCATATTAAAATTAATTAATTCACCGGTCGTTGAATCGTAATGTGAATGTGGTGCTGCATGGTCTCCCTTAAAAAGTGGATTCAATTCATCCCAGGAATAAACTCGCGTTGGAGTTAAATCATGCGCATCTAATTCCACCACCTATCAATAGTATTATTTTCTTTTAGTACAAGTTGAAGGATAACATTATCAAAAAAAGATAAAGAAAAGAATATAGATCACCTGACTAGCGTGATTTTGACAATATAATTTTGGCTTTTCTCCAGCTTTAGTCAATGGAAAATTGGCATTTATGTACGCGCTACAAGGTTCTAATTCGGGTTTTTTTGTACGCTTTTTCATTATTAATTTGGCCAACGGGGTTTGACTGTTTTTTAATAAAAAATCATGTTGAGTACGACCTTGGTGGAAATTATTTAGGTCAATAATTAAGATTATAACCTACTTTACGTGTGTTTTAAACAGCGAAAATGGATGAGTTGTCACTATTCCATGACGATCACGTATTTTTGATTCGTATTTTTTACTAGTGTGTCTTGATCTATATATAATTTTATTAGTTCCTCCGTCCAAGACAAATCTGTTCACTAGTGGTAAGCTTATCATGATCAATAAAACGAATTTCAGTATATGATGTCATAATCAAGGCAACTTTTATTCTTGGAAGAAATGTTCCACTTACCCATCAAACCAGTGTCCCATGGTAAATGTGACTGTACCACTCTCATACGCACCATTACCAACTTCTATCATTTTGTTATACTTTATATCGTAAGTGCCAGGCCCGACTGTGAATAGCTCACCATTCAACCATGAAGGTAATTCACCCGAGACAGAAAGTTCAACCGCCTGAGGCGTCTCTTTTGCATTTAAAAAACCCTGAGATGTAAATGGCGCGAAATATTAAGGTTTTTTCGCATTATATAATGAATGAACTTTTCTAACGTCTCGAGCAAGCAAAAGTTTTTCCACTAGTAAACTTGTACCTTGTGATATAAGAGGCTAGATCGAATTCTAAAATCTTGACCAGCATAGTTTTGCTCGTTCTCATCAGACAATCTAGGTTTCTCAGTGAAATCTTGAAGTTCTACAGCTATAATGTCTGACATTGACTTGTTTGTTATTTGGTATAAATATGTAAAAGTAGGATATAAACTGCTGGAAAAAAGAAATGTTTTTTCCACTTATATATGCCGCTAAAACTTTACAAATTCTGTTGTATATCCTCGCCGTTGATCATATTGCCATGCTGTTGCATTAGACCAATCGATTTTCAATTGGTCGTACAAGTCAGTATAATTGGTTCCTGTGGAAAAATGCAAGCCTTTTTTAACACATACTGCAATTAATGCCGATACAATAAAGCTCGAGATTTAAATATAGCAATGATTATTAAAAACATTAGGATTTGTATAACAGAGTAGCGTACTTTTTATGAATTCAACAAATCAATTTTACTGTGCATCTATCTAATGAAAATACCGAAAATTCCGCACTACTGCTACTAATGCTTATCTAATTATATAACATGAATTTTTATAAAAGAATCTGCAATTATAGGTGAGACAAGAGATATGAATCAATAAGAAAAGTTATATAACAAATTACACAAGTAATGAAATTTCTTTATAACCAAAATTGGTTAATCTTCATTAATAAAACATAGTAAAAGTTGAAATTTTTTCTCTATATTAAACTTTATAATTTTATTAATAAATATTTTTTATTTTTATATTAAATTAAAGTTCATAATCTATAATTTAACATATATTTATTTTAGATTTTTAGATTTTTTCTGAAAGAGTTGTTCTAATTGCAAAGTCATTGCAAAATTTTTTCTAATTAAAAAATGAATTTAATTAATAAAAATTTTTGCAATGGCTTTATAATTATCAGAAAAATCTGAGAAAATAGATATTAAATTATAGATTATATACTTTTGATATAAAAAATAAAAAATATTTATTAATAGAATTATAAAGATTAATATAAAGAAATAATTTTAATTGTTATTAAATTTTATTAATAAATTGATTTTTTGATTTATTATTTTTGATTATTATTATATATTATAATAAAAATATATAATTATAATTCTAATAATTATATAATAATTATTCTTAAAAAGTAAAATTAAAAATATATTTTAATTTATTAATTAAAAATTAAATATAATAAAAAAATTTATAATATTTAAAATTTAATATTATTATTATTATTAAATTTTTATTTATTAATAGATTAAATATAATAATATTATTATTATAAATAAATAAAGTTTGAAACTAGTTTTATTTTTATTAATCAGTTTTAAAAATCTTTTAAAAATTATTTGATTTTAACTAATTAATTAGTTAAAATTAAATTTAAATCAAATTAATTAATTAGTCAAAACTAGTTTTAAACTTTAATTCATTAATTAAATATAATTAGTTATAGTTAAATTAAATAATTAATTAATTAATTAAAATCAGTTTTAAAATCTAATTTAATTAACTAAATATAATTAATTATAATCAAATTAATTAATTAATTAAATATAATTAATTATAATTAAATTAATTAATCAAATATATAGTGATAATCAAAAATAAGATTTAGAGACTAAATTTATTAATTAAAACATAATGAAAATTAAAATTTTCTTTTTATATTAAAATTTATAATTTTATTAAGAAATAATTTTTATTTTTATATCAAAATAAAG